GGCCAATCATTTATGTTATTATGGTGTTATTATTGACATGACTTAATAAGCTCCAGTGAGGTTAGGTAGAACCATGTAGATAAGGCTATGTCGCCGACATAGAATAGCAGATCTGGCCCCATACAGTTTGGAACTCCGGCTACAGGCCGTTGAGTGAGATGATTATACAGGCCATAGCAGCCAAGCATACGGTTTTCATACATTTTCATACAAGTTTATCTTATCACCTCCGGTTTCGCTAATACCTTATGGAGCCATACAGATATTTTTGACTTAATCATACAAATTAATACAGAGAAAGAGAGACCATCATAGTTTAAACTGAAAAATGACATTGATTGTGTGCTTGATCTGTTATTGGGGCCTATTATTGGGTTTATTTACATGGTTCTTTGACATATGTATGTGTTATTTGTTTACTTTATATGAGAGATATCCACTGAGCTTATAAGCTCAGCGAGTTACTTGTTAACTCGCAGGTTTTGAGACTGGTTCATTAGAGGTCTCGGATTACAACTGCTAAAGTTCATCTACAGAAGACTCAATCTTCAGGGTAGCTAGTCATTTTACTGTATATCTTTTATCTATCCTTTTTATGGCATGTAAATGGCACACAGTTGGGCCCATTTCAGTTTGTAAACCAGTATCATGTCTTGTAAATATTATATACATTATGAATGTTATCAGCATCAACATGCTAGTATTTTCTATATACAGTGTGAAGTCAGCATGATAGGACATACAGTCATCCAGTTTGTAGCGTCTCGACTCGGTTCATTCGGGTTTTCGGGTGGACCGGGAAGGGGTGTTAGGTGTACAAGTACAAAGAAGGGAGCTCAGTACTGACCATGTAAATGAATTTCAGGGGTATTTTTGATCAGTAATCCAATATGGGGTGTCAAGTTTTGATGAGGACATTATGACTTTGGTTTGTTTGAATACCACTTCCTGACTCGGGGAAAACTTTAGGGTATCTTTTGACAAATCTTCTTCTCCTAATGGTGTTGTAACTATGCAGTTATGTGAAGAGTGGTTTTCTGAATGAAGAAGTAAGAAGGGAGCAACTCAGGTTGCTTCCACATCCACATTTCAGATATTTTGGTACTGAAAAACCAGGGGGAGAAGCAAAAGTTAGAAGTCGATGATTCACAACAGTAGAAGCAAGGAGTAGGAGAAATTCAAAGTCAGGTTATAAGGAGCCTGAATGTCATTATGTGGTAAATCTGGGCATATCAACGGTACTGTTACCAAGTGGAAAAAGGATAAAAACCCAATAAAGGCAAAGCAAGAAAAGATGGCAATGATGAAAATGGTGATCGTGTTCAGTTGTTGCTACTTCAGGTTGCTACTTCAGTTGATTTGGCTGTTGTTCATGATGGAAATATGATTAATGTTGCCAGCAATGAGGTTCTTTGGGTACTTGATAGTGGAGCTGCACACCATATTGCTTCAAAGAGAGAATTCTTCACATCTTACAATCCTAGTGATTTTGGAACTTTACGGATGGGAAATGGATTTGTATCCAAAGTAGTGGGCATTGGCAATGTAACTGTGGTGACCAACCTTGGTATGAAGTTGATACTTAAGAATGTTAAACATGCGCTAGATGCGAGGTTGAATTTGATATCCTGTGACACTTTATATCAAGATGGAAATGGCTCCAATTTGTTTAATCATGGCATTGTTTATAAAGGCTCTTTGGTTGTGGCTAAAGGGTTTAGAGGTTCAGGTTTGTATTGGCTACAGACTACTATCCCTATATTGGCTACAGACTACTATCCCTACAGATCTTGTGAATGCAGTTGAAAGTGATAGTTTAACAGAGATTGAGTCACATCAGTGAAAAGGGTCTGAATATTCTAGCTAAGAAGAATTTGCTTTCTGGTTTGCAAGGTGGAGAGTTAGACACTTGTGAGCATTGTTTGGCCGAAAAATAGAAACGCATCTCCTTTAGACATCATCCTCCTTCTAGAAAAGAAGAGTTGTTAGAGCTCGTACACTCAGATGTATGTGGTCCTTTGAAGGATAAGTCACTTGGTGGTGCACAGTACTTTGTGACTTTTATTGATGATCAGTCAAGAAAGCTTTGGGTTCGTGTGTTAAAGTCAAAGGATCAGGTACTCGGTGCATTTAGAGAATTTCACACTTATGCTGAGAGAGAAACAGGTAAACAGTTGAAATGTGTTCTTACTGATAATGGAGGTGAATATTGTGGGCCATTTGATTCCTATTGTCGAGAGCATGGTATCAGACATCAGAAGACACCTCCTAAGACTCCACAGTTGAATGAGTTGAATGGCTTGGCAGAAAGGATGAACAAAACTTTGATGGAGAGAGTTAGATGTATGCTTTCAGATGCAAAACTACCTAATTCCTTTTGGGGTGAGGCATTGTAAGCAGTTGCACATGTCATCAATCTTACTCCTACTGTTCCTTTGCATAATGATGTTCCTGATAGTTTTTGGTATGGTAAGAAGCCTTCTTATGATCATCTACGGGTATTTGGGTGCAAATGTTTTGTTCATGTTCCTAAAGATGAAAGGTCCAAGCTAGATGCCAAGACAAGATAGTGTATCTTCATTGGCTACGGTCAAGATGAGTTTGAGTTTGGCTATAGGTGTTATGATCCTATTGAGAAGAAAGTTTATAGAAGCCGTGATGTGGTCTTTATTGAAAATCAGACTATTGAACATATTGGCAAAGTGGAGAAACCAAAACCTCAGAATAACAGCTTGGTTGATGTTGATCCAATTCCGTCAGCTTCAACACCTGTTGCAGTTGATGTTAGAAATCAGGTTGATCTTCAGGATAATACTGAAGAGGCCGATGAGGTTGATATTCCTGTAGATGATGCTACTGATGATCAGTATGAGACACTTGAGGGACAACAAGAGGCTCCAGTCAGAAGGTCTACCAGAAATCATATTCCATCTACAAGGTATTCTCCTAATGAGTATGTATTGTTAACAGATGCAGATGAGCCAGAATGCTACCAAGAAGCTGTTGAGCTGTGGAGAGAGTGAGGAAAAAGACAAAATGGATTATTGCTATGAAAGATGAAATGCAATCGATTATTATGACAAATGATACTTTTGAACTGGTGAAGCTTCACTAAAGATTAGAAAAGCCCTGAAGAAAAGGAATAGGTGGATCTATAAGGTGAAGCATGAAGAGAATTCATCATCCCCACGTATTAAAGCGAGATTAGTGTCAAGGCCTTTAGTCAGAGAAAGGGGATGATTATTGAAGGGAAATATTTCTACACCAGTGGTTAAGATGTCTTCCATTTAGAGTTTATCTTGGGGTTTTAGCTTGCTACACTTGATTTAGAGATTGCCAGCAGATGGGATGTGAAAACTGCATTTCTTCATGGTGACTTAGAAGAGGAAAATTTATATGGAGCCAGCCTAAGGTTTTGCTGCTCTGTGAAGGGTAAGGGCAAAGAGAAGAAAATTATGTTTGCAAGTTGAAAAAGAGCTTGTATGGTTTTTTTAAAACAAGCACCAAGGCAGTGTTATAAGAAGTTTGAGTCTGTTCTTGGTTCAGCCCAAGGCTACAAAAAGACTACTCACTGATCATTGTGGTTTTTTGCTTTGCAAAGTTTTTCTGACAATGACTTTATCATTTGCTGTTGTATGTGATGATATGCTTATTGTAGGTCCTAACTCCTCTGAATTATGAATTTGAAGAAAGAAAGACTGAGCAAGTCTTTTTTCTTATGAAGGGATTTAGGCCGCAAAGCAGATTCTTGCATAAAAGGTCATTCGTGACAGGAGGAAGATGCACAGAAATTATGGCTTTCACAAGAGAAGTATATTTGAGAAGGTACTACACGGTTCAATATGGCTTACAGGCTAAGGCTGTAAGTTACACCCTCTCCCTAACATCTATTAGATTGAGTGCTGAAAAACAGTCTTCCTTCTAATGCAGCAAGAGAAAAGAACTTCATGCAAAAGGTTCCTTATGCCGTATCTGCAGTAGTAATGTTTTGATGTTATGCTATGGTTTGTACTAGACCAGATATTAGCTCATGCAGTTGGTACAGTTAGTTAGATTTTCTTTCTTAATCCAGGTAAGGAGCATTGGAATGCAGGGACTCGTCGTAATTTTCTCTTCGTCGTGGGATATTTATTTTCAAAATATATCCACGGATCCGATACCGCTATCTGACCGGCTGGACCTATCGAAACCTTCGGCTCTGATACCAGTTGTTAAGAAAAAAAAATTACGCAAAATTCCCAATAAGTCAGATTTATGAGGGAGCAAAAGAAAATAACACACAATTTGATAACGGAGTTCGGCCCATATTGCCTACGTCTCCGGACTGCCATAGATCTTTTATAGGAGAAAAATAAATAAAGTGTTTACATACACTCACAACCCTCTGTCCAAGAATACCCGAAAAATTAAACTCAATTTTTCTTCTTGAATAATCTCTCTATTTTTCTCTCTCACAATTGCTCTCTCACAATTACTCTCACTCTCTCTATTCTTCTTGTTGGTAAAGGAGTTGTGAAGATTAAGTTGAAAGGGCAAAAATTGGTATCAGAGGTGATGCCTAACATCTAATGTACGGCACTGTCTATAAAACAAAGAACTTTGCTATAACTACGATTATTAATATCATTGGATCAGACTTTTTCCTACCAGAGAAAAGCAAATAAAGAGATGTATTTGACGGGAAACCTTTTTTTGTTCAATAAAATAAATGTTCTTGTCTGACAGGAAAACCACCGAGTACATACATTTCTCATATATGTATGTATAAAAATGTGCGAGGTAAAAATGTGTGTTCTGTTTCATCTCTTGGGTCTTAAATAGTACTGAAAAATCTAACCAGAGACAGAGGCATAGATTTGATACAACCTCGTTTGCAAGAGGAAACATTTTTCAATCTTTATCAGAAGGAAGATAAAATTGTTGGTAATTATCTGCAAAATCACTTATTTTTCTAGTTTTATTTGCAACGTTTCCAACTTTTATATTACCCGGATAGCGAAATGAGTGGAGAAGGGAAGATAGTATGTGTAACTGGTGGATCAGGTTACATAGCTTCGTGGCTTGTCAAATTCTTGCTTCAAAGTGTTGGGTTTGGGTTCCCTTCCTATGTGGTAAAAGCCCATATTTTGAAGTCCACTAACTAATTATTGTTTTACAATTATGCCCCTCAATCTTTTGTCGGATTGAGCTGATTTTTGGTGAGCTTGTTCCTAACATCCAATTCTTGATTCTGGCAAATCAGTTTAATTTTTGGATGAGTAGAACATTTTAAATGTATTGAGGACAGCAGCTGTTTTTGTTATCACTCTATTGTGTTGCTACACATTTGTTTTTGTGGTTGTTTGTGGTTATAGCTACATTTTTTCATGGTTTGTAGCTTTGCTGTAAGTTGTAAGACAATATTTTGTGATAGTGAACTTTATTCCTTGGGACCGCGAGGAGAGGTCCCGTGGTTTTTTATCCTTTCACACCGGAGGAGTTTTCCACGTAAAAAGATTTGTGTTCCTGTGAGTGTGAATGTTTATTTTGCGATTGTGATGATTTAGGACAGTTTGTGGTTACTTGGAATTTTGCTTGCTCATTGGATTACTTCCTAATAGATTCATTCAAGTGGGGAAATTGTGAATGTTATTTTTGATTGTGTATGATTTAGGACAGTTTGTGTTACTTGAATTTGTTGCTCATTGTTACTCCTAATAGATTCATTCAAGTGGGGAAATTTTTGTTGTGAGGTCAGTTTGTGTTACTTCCCATCACAAAGTGGTTACACTGTCAAAACTACAGTTCGTGACCCGAGTAAGTCCTTCCTCTTGAATTCTGGGCTTGATTGGACAGTAATTATTCCTGTGCTTATGCTTCCAAATTCTATTTTTGAACTTTTTGATTTTGAGTTTGATCTTTCCTAAATAAATATATATAAATAAATAAACAAACAAGGAAGAAGAAGAGGGGTTGACCCCATTTTGTTAATGACTTGTAACAAACTTTCAAGGGAATTCAATTGCTGCTTAATTCTGTAGCAATCTTGAAGTGGGTATTGTTTTTTACTGAGAATTTTATATGCTGCAATTTGCTTGTCAAGCACAGGAAATTAATAGCAAAAAAGGAGAGGGAGATTGATTTTATGCAAGAAAATTAGTAAAATTTTGATGATCTGTAATCTTTGAGTTAGTTTATTGTATTTCGTTACTGTTTTGCTTTCAGTAGCATATCTATTGTTTTCAGTGAATTCTTATTTCAGCTGCTTTTTGATCTGTATTATATATTTCCCAGATGATGCCAAGAAAACTGCACACTTACTTGCACTCGATGGAGCCAAGGAAAGACTTCATTTGTTCAAAGCTGATTTATTGGAAGAAGGGTCTTTTGACGCTGCTGTTGAGGGCTGTGAAGGTGTTTTCCACTCAGCTTCCCCAGTAACTTTTATGACCAATGACCCACAGGTCCATCCTACGCGAACTTTTCACTGCCTTCCACTGGTGGATCTTTATATGTCGCAATTGGTCATGGGCTTACAATTTTATTTTCAATTGACAGTAATTTTTCACAGAATTTGCTCTTAGCATTGTAGAACATATTTATTGATGTTTTGTTTTTATTATTGCCTTATTTGTTTCTGTTGAAATTACTACTGCGTGATAGGCTTAGTGCCACATAAATGTTCACACTGCTATTTCTATGTACAGACAGAACTGGTTGATCCTGCAGTGAAGGGAACACTTAATGTTCTTAGATCTTGTGCAAAAGTGCCTTCCATCAAGAGAGTGATTCTAACATCCTCTTTCGCATCTCTTCCATATAGCGGAAAACCTCTCACCTCAGATGTGATAATTGATGATACTTGGTTTTCAGACCCAGCTGTTTGCGAGGATCGGAAGGTTTGTCTCCCTTTCATGCTAATATGATGGTACTCATTATCCATTTAACAATGATTCATATATTTAATGTTATGTGCTTATCATAAAAATATAAATTTCTTTCAGTTTCTTAATAATTGGATGATATGAGATGTTTATGCTAATTTTTGGGACCAAAGTTTAGTTGTTGTCATTATCTTTGTCGTATGAGATGTTTTATGCTTGGCTCTCTCCGTTTTTCATGAACAGTGTTCTTGAATTTAATCTCTATATTTTGTTATGAGTTATACATTTTCACTTTTCTTTTATTTTCCAGCTCTGGTATCAACTAGGAAAAACTTTAGCCGAGCAGGCTGCTTGGAAATTTGCAGTAGAGAACAATATGGACTTGGTTACTATACATCCAGTATTTGTCCTTGGTCCTCTTTTACAGCCAAGTCTTAATCTATCTGTGGAGATGATTCTAAACCTTGTAAATGGTATGGTTCTACACCTATCTAGTACATAAATTCCAAGAATTTTGATGTTTCCGCAACTTTAAAAAGAAAAAAAATCTGGACTTTTGCATGATGAAATGGCTTGAAGGTATTTGTTGCAGGAGCTGAAGAGTATCCTGATGCATATTATAGATCTGTTGATGTAAGAGATGTTGCTTGTGCACATATAAGAGCTTTAGAGATTTCTTCAGCTACTGGAAGATATATATTAATTGAAAGAGATTCTCATTTCTCTGAGGTTCTGAAGATTGTTCGACAACATTACCCTACACTGCGCCTTCCTGAAAAGTAAGTTGTTTTTTAAAATTCTGTTCAATAAAATTTTGAATTTTGTTTTTTTCATGTTCGGTATAAATAGAAATGTTCATTTCATACTCATGAATTCAATTTTGAGGCGTTCAATACAACTAAACCAAATTTTATAGTTTTATATATAAGAAAAGGGCAGTCCTGTGCACAAAATTAAGTTCCTTAATTACCAATTTCAAATTCTTTAGCTTAATTACTCTTGTTAAGTCAGAAAATTAAGTTCCTATCTGTGTTGATGGCAGGAGTGGCCCTGGATTTACTCATTTAACAAAGTATGGTGTATCTATGGAGAAAGCAAAAACTTTGGGTATTAACTTCATTCCTTTGGAGGTGAGTCTCAAGGACACTATTGAAAGCTTGAAAGAGAAGGGTTTCCTTAGAATTTGATTTTACCTTCCAAGGGTTCGCGATTCCACAGGGGTGAGCTAACTCTAAAAACTCGCCCTCGATTCGGATTGCGATTCCACAGGGGTGAGCTAACTCTAAAAACTCGCCCTCGATTCGGATTGCCCAGGGAAGTGAGCTAATCTAAAAAACTCAGCCCTCTCTAAAAACTCGCCCTCGATTCGGATTGCGATTCCACAGGGGTGAGCTAACTCTAAAAACTCGCCCTCGATTCGGATTGCGATTCCACAGGGGTGAGCTAACTCTAAAAACTCGCCCTCGATTCGGATTGCGATTCCACAGGGGTGAGCTAACTCTAAAAACTCGCCCTCGATTCGGATTGCAGGCTGCAACTCGCCTGCATGAAGCCGGAATCGCTAGTAATTTCCGATGGGAATCGAGGCAAATATTGCATTAACATTTAAGCTTCATTGCTAGTCTTCAAGGTTGTGTTTTTTATGAAATAAAAAAAAAGTATATTATCATTAAAATTATGTAAATCCTCTTAATATATATTATTTAAGAGTAAATTCATTACAATGGTTTACTATGTTGTTTCTAATTGTTTTTATTTTATTAATTTATTAGTATTTAAGAATAAATTTGAACATATTCATAATTCTTCTTTACTAATGAATAGCTTTGGTCAAATTTTGTGAGGGCAACAACAATATATGATTGAAAATAAAACTGAAAAGGTAGTTTAAAAATGTTGGATATGAAATACTCTTGAAGCATCGCAGAAAGAATGAAGTATAAATATATTTATTTTTTAGAATTATATCTAATAAACATTTTAAAAATAGGAATAGCTATTTAAAAAAATTAATATTAGCCGATTTTAAAGTAGGTATTATGTATATTAAAATTTTTTTTTCTTTTTATACATATAAAGCTGAGTTTAGAGTTGCTATTTAAGAAAATTATTATTAACAAATGAAGTACGAACGTTTTTCCATTTTTTGTTTTTTATTTTTCATTTTTTAAGAAAGCTGTTTTTAAAAAAAAAAAAAAAATCACAGTTTAAGGATGGAATGACTATGAATATATATTGATCCGATCCGAATATTATCCAAATCCAGTTTGATTAAATTTTTTTCTTTTTTTTTTAATAACCTACGTTTTAGTTATTATATATATATTAATTTAACAAAATCCGATTTGATTTGACTTAAAATTAAACTTCGATTCATTTTAACATGGAGTGAATATTATATTACACTATTATTAATCTTTAATGATGAATCCGATACGAAAATTATAAAATTTAATCCGAATCCAATCTCATTGATCAACTTAATCAATAAAAATTATATCTTGTAGTCTCTGGTGTTATTTTAGCTGTTGGGCTCCCAATAAAAACAAACACTAACCAAAAAAAAAAAACCTTAATCCAAAATGCAACACGTTGCTTGTACTTTTACCTTTCCTTCAAAAAGAATTAGTACTTTTACCAGCTGTAAAATCATTAAACTTACCAAACATTTTTAACTGTGCTGAGCTTGCACGCGCCAATCTCGTCGCCGCAATTCAATTCTATGACCTGTCTCGACAAATCAGCATTAACATTCGCGATCAAAATATTCACAAACCGGTAAACTCTGTCGGAGACCTGCTTCCAGTTTCTGTTCCAACTTCCAAGGAAGAGACGATCCCAGGAATAAAACCCATAGCTCGTTTTTCCTATGTTCGCGGTAAACCCATCAAACCAGGCGCCAATTTGAGGCCTTCTAGCCCATCAAAAAAGCTTAACCCATCCCGTTGGAGGAGGACTCCACACAATTCAAAGCCATTGGCGATGCAGGCTACTCTCGCCATCCCTAACAGTACAATTTGCTTTACTAATTTCCTTAGCAAAAGAGAAAATCAGGTGGGAATCAGACGACACGCTGAAAAGTTAAGTAAATGTATGTGTACAGAATAATCTAACCGTTGTTTGTGTTTATGTACTTTTTGGATTCTCTGATAAGAGACTAAGATTGGGATAACCTTATTTGGAAGAGGAAACATTTTTTATGTTTTATCAGAAGAAAAAGGGTTATACTTAAAGGTTGAAGCTAAGATCGTTGTAACAAATTCGCAAAATCACTTCTTTTTTTCCAGTTTTAATTGAAAAGTTTCTACCTTTTAATTTATCCAGATAGGGAAATGAGTGGAGAAGGGAAGGTAGTGTGTGTAACAGGTGGTTCAGGTTATATAGCTTCATGGCTAGTCAAATTCTTGCTTCAAAGTGGTTACATTGTCAAAGCCACTGTTCGTGACCTAAGTAAGTCCCTCCTCCTTAATTCTAGGCTTGATTGGTACAGTAATTATTTCTGTTTCTGTGCTTATGCTTCCAAATTATATTTTTTTTTAACTTTTAAATTTTGGGTTTGACCTTATATTGTTAATGACTTGTAGCAACCTTTCAAGGGTTGCTTCTTAATTCTGTAGCAATCTTGATGTGAGTATTTTTTGTTACTGATAATTTCATATGCTGCAATTTGCATGTCAAAGGATGAACTCAATCAGGTCTCACTTGGATTAGGTAGCCAAGTGACTTAATTTCGTGAATCTTTGTATAATTAAACACAGTAAATTAATACCAAGCAAAAAAGAGAGGGAGATGGATTATATGCAAGCAAATGAGTGAACTTTTGATGATGTATAATCTTTTCTCTAGTTTATTGTGTGTGCGTGTGTATATATTTTCTGCTTTCACTAGAATTTCTAGTGTTGTCAGTGCATTCTTAATTCAGTTGTTTAGCAATCTGTATTATGTATAACAGTTGACGCCAAGAAAACTGAACACTTACTTGCACTTGATGGAGCCAAGGAAAGACTTCATTTGTTCAAAGCTGATTTATTGGAAGAAGGGTCTTTTGATGCTGCTGTTGATGGGTGTGAAGGTGTTTTCCACTCAGCTTCCCCTGTAACTTCTGCAATCAATGATCCACAGGTGCGACCTCCACGAAATTTTCACTGCCTTACACTGATCAATGTTTTTATGTTGCAATTGGTCAATGGCTTGCCATTTTATTCTCAATGGACATCAATTTCTCACAGATTTTGTTTCAAGTATGCTATAACATATTTGTTATTTTTATTTTTAATTGTTGCCTTTATTTATTTCTGTCGACATTACTACTGGTTGATGGGTTTAACATCACATACACGTTCACATTATATTATTTCCATGTCTCAGATAGAACTGGTTGATCCTGCTGTGAAGGGCACACTTAATGTTCTTAGGTCTTGTGCAAAAGTGCCTTCTATCAAGAGAGTGATTGTAACATCCTCATTTGCAGCTCTTCCATATAGTAGAAAACCTCTCAACCCCGATGTGGTTGTTGATGAGACTTGGTTTTCAGACCCAGCTGTTTGTGAGGAACGGAAGGTTTGTCTCTCTTTCATGACAATATGACGGTACTCATATTCATTTGTGGCAGAGTTGTGAATATCAGCTGTTACATAGTGTATTGACTCAATCGTAATGGTGAGTGAATGGTATCATGACTTGCTAAGATCAATAATGTCCCTTTTTAAAAAAGAAAGTTCAGTATAGCACAGACAATGTCCTTAAAAGGCTCACTATGTGCTTATACCTGAAATGAATGACTTAAAACAAGATGAAAATGATATATACATATATAGACAATACCATTTTTTATTTTTATGTTCTCCTTATTTTTATCTCTAACAATTTCAATACAAAGGTAATTTGACCTTCATGTTATGTTGTTCAGCACATTATGCTTTTAGCAATGACAATTTTCAATTTAGCCATCCCAGTTGGATGATTGTGATAGATATGGTCACTCTAAATTAAACTACAAAATCATCTCTTGGATTATATTTTATTTATATAACAAGCATATCCCTTATTTAATGTTATGTGCTTATCATAACAGTATTAGTTTCTTTCAGTTAATAATTGGATGAAATGAGATGTTTTATGTACGATTCTGTCTTTTTGCATTAACAGTGTTCTTGAATTTAATTTAATATCTTAACTATTTTTTTATTATGACTTACATAATTTCACTTTTTTTTTTCCCTTTTCCAGCTTTGGTATCAACTAGGAAAAACCTTAGGCGAGCAGGCTGCTTGGAAATTTGCAAAAGAGAACAATATGGATTTGATTACCATACATCCAGTGTTTGTCCTTGGTCCTCTTTTACAGCCAAGTCTTAATCAATCTGTGGAGACAATTCTGAACCTCATAGGTATGCTTCTACAACTTTTAGAAGAACTTAAATATTTGCTCAACTTCGAAAAGAAAAAATCTGAACTTTTGTATGATGAAATGGCCGCATAATTAACAAATAGCTTGAGAGTTTTAACCTCAATTCAACCACAAATAGCTTGAAGATATTTGCTGCAGGAGCTGAAGAGTATCCTGATGCATATTATAAATCTGTTGATGTAAGAGATGTTGCTTATGCACATATCAGAGCTTTAGAGATTTCTTCAGCTACTGGAAGATATATTTTAATGGAAAGAGAGGTTCATTTCTCTGAGGTTCTGAAGATTATGCAACAACATTGCCCCACACTGTGCCTTCCGCAAAAGTAAGTTGTTTTTCTTAAGCTGTTGAATAATCGAGTGCAGGTGTTTGTGAATGACTAATTGTTGGAATTCTCTGACACTTATGTTGTATAAATGGATTCCTCACAACCTTGTGGAATATGTTTTGAATTTCATGTTTGGTATAAATAAAATGTTCAATTCATGCTCAAGAATTCGATTTTTTGAGATTCAATATAACTAAAATTCTACAGTTTTATAAATATATCTCAAGTTCATCTTAACCCAATACCACTCAAGGTTACATGGATGATCTACAAGTTCAGTTTAAACTTCACATGAACCCTTTATCACTAAATGCAAATATATATCTGTCTTAATTACTCTCGTTGAGTCGGACAATTAATACTCCATGTGTGTTCATGGCAGGAGCGGTACTGGATTGAATTTCTTAACGAAGTACGGTATATCCTCGGAGAAAGCGAAAACTTTGGGTATTAACTTCATTCCTTTGGAGGTGAGTCTGAAGGACACTATTGAAAGCCTGAAAGAGAAGGGTTTCCTCAGAATTTGATTTTGACTTCTGATGGGAAGTAAGGGAAATATTGCATCAACGTTTCAGCTTCATTGTTTTAGCTTTTATTGCAACAAGAAATTGCTAGTCTTCAAGGTTTTTGATTGAAATATGTGGACAGAAAACACATTTGTATATATAGTACTAAATTTTGCATGTATCGTACGTACTTTAATAATGATACCAAAAAATGCGAGTCACAGACTATGCTTTTCTAGTCACTTCACCTCATCCACCACAAGATAGAGCTTGCCTTCATTTGCAAAGTAGTGGATATCTCTGCACTTGTCCCGTATTCTTTGGAGGAAATGTTAAACAAAATATGCCTTCAATGTCTCAATTACACATTTGCTATTTGTTCACTTACTTTCTGTATGGTTAATTGTTCTGGATCGCTATATATAAATATGCAAATATTTAAGGTTTACATTTCAATAGTTAAAAAAAATTCATAATCTCAAGTGAACACACCACTACCAATCTAAGTTTGACAGATCTCTTTTCTAGAAAATAATACTAACATTACAAAAGAAAGAAGATTTTTTTGTCAATCCATCAACATAGAAGAAATCATTAGCCAGTTTGATCTTCTTCCATCCAAAGGCAATATCTCCATATTGTAACTTGCAACTTTCAAACACCATCAGCTATGGTCAGGAAACCACAGAGCTCATGAGACAATAGGCTTGTTTCTACTATGAATCATTCTTATAGTTTCAGTTTCTAGGTTCCCATATGCTGTTGTGCCTACTACTTATACCGTCAAGATATCATCGAATAGATTGCATTGGAAACTGCAAATAATTACAAGACTTGACATTTCAACTGTCTGAAGGCATTCTTGACCCTTCAACACTTGGCCTATCACATCCATAACTTCAATACCCTGTCTTTACCACCAGAAGCTACCTTCTCGCCGTCGGGACTCCAGTCAACAGCATATACCTACCCAAAATGAAAAAAATTCAGAATTTGAAGAGCACTTATAATCATGTTATAATAGCACGCAAATCGAATAGAACTTTGGACTCAGGAGGGAATTTTACCTCATCAGCATGGCCTGGAAGGTCTTGTTTCAACTTCTGTGTCCGAATGTCCCAAACCTAGAAGACAAATAAACTTTTGCATTGGAAGCATAGTTTGAAAAGTATGACATGATGGCCTAGTGAAGACCGTTATTATATTTAATAAATTCATACAAAAAAAAAAAAAAACACGATCACCAAATTCGCTCCACTTTAAGAAAGAACTAACAATTAGTATAGATTACCTTCAGCGTGGAATCTTTGCTCCCACTTAAGAGAAGCCTACTATCAGCTGACCAGCTGCGGGGCAATGAGTAACAGAATGATTAACACCACAAAGTAGGAGTATGGAGAAACAAGAACCATCATAATGATCCGAACCTGATTTGATAAACAGGCCCAACATGTCCTCGAAATGCAAAAACAAATTTTCCAGTAACACCATTCCACAATTTGACTGATCTATCAAATGAAGCACTAGCGATCCATTGTCCATCAGGTGAGAAGTAAACATGATTTACAAGCTGTGGCAACCAACGAGTAGTTCAATGCTTTTAACTCAGTAAAATACTAATACATAGTGTCAAAGAAAAAAGAATAAACAATAAGAAACACTGAGGCAGAAGAGGACTAGGATACAAGTTGTCAAATGGACCACCAGACAACAATTTTAGCTTCTTTACATTGCACTCCTAACAAAGCACCACCAACAACAAAATAGAAAAGTAATCACATGCTTCATACCTGTTGATGACCTGTCATGCGAGTTTTGGGATGTTTGCTAACAGCAGGTTCCCATAGAAACATGGTAAAATCATCAGAACCTGAAACTAATCTCTCAGGGCCATTGCCTTTCATTTTGTTGTACCTTTCCAGAGCAGCCTATAAACAGTTGTACAATGGAATACAATTAATTGAATATAGAGGGAAAGAGCAATTATAGTTTAGTCTGAGGAAGCACAAAATAATGAATGGCTTCTTAAATGCTAAAATTCCACAATTCATCTTAGCCACAGATGGACCCTAAATAAGACCTCTTATCACAGTATGGGAAGAAGAGAATTAACGGTAAGAGTTCCCCTTTTCATGGAAATACCAATGTTAGCGCATAAATTGAATAAGAAGAAAGCTGTTCCAGATTGTCATCCCATTGATTCAGATACCTGTAATTCAACAAAGTCCATAAAACAACCCATCCAATGATAAACATAAAGTATTTTAACTCGTAACTGATTGCTTCAGCTTCAGCAAATACACTTTCATTGAAAGATTGAAATCGCATAAAATTCAATTTTGTGTTTCCCAAAAGCAAGCTAACATAGAGATGATGAATGCAGTTGGTAACAATCAGAAAATGCTAGAAGAGAACAGGTCTGAAAGCATAAAGCAAATAATATATTGTTACCTTCTTCATTTCCTCAGCAGAAGAATAAGTTTTGCCAGTATGATCAAAAGCTCCAGTACGAAGAACATATTCAGTGCTCAAAGCAAGAGAATTAACCCAATGCCCGTGACCCTAGAACAAGAACCATAAAACAAGGAGGTCATAAAGAAAGCTAAAACTAGAGAGAAAAAGCTATATTGAATCGGCAATCCTACAATCAATAAAAAATCATAAGATACAAAACACAGAACATAACTACTCAGGGAGTGGAAAATGGAAAATGTGAATAAAATTGAAAATATAAAACATTTTTCTTTTAAAAGATATGAAAACTAATATCACAGCGGAAAAAAAGGAAGATGTGCACCACTGCGCCATCATTATAATCAAAGTAGAAAATAAAGGATGGAGAAGATGTGGAAGAATCCAATATACACCTTAAAAAATTTGCAGGAGAATGAAGACAAGAACCAGGAAGAAAAAAACTAAACTTTGAAGGTTTTCTGATGAAAGGCATGGACGAAATGCAAATAACATATCAAACATAATCAGTAGCAGTAGCAGGCTTTGTACAGTAGAGCAAAGAGTGAAGCAAACAAGAGAAAGGCTGATACCAATTGGTATCTAAAATTACCTTTAATTCACGAACTAACTTCCCCTGTGTGGTCTCCCAGACTTTGATGGTACAATCTTGGGAGCTGCAAAAGTTAAGAAGCAGAAATAAGTACGGCTAAACACAAAGAACGTACAAATGGAACATTACAAGCTTACAGCATAAACAATAAATCCTCTAATGAAGAATAATCAAACTTTGAAACATAGCGAGTTCTTCGACATTGATTAGCCTAAAAAGTTATTTGTAATTTTTATTCTCTTATGAAGGAATGGTGATTATCTTAACTATATTTCATTAACAATGAGAACAAAAGGAAAAGAAAAACACACCCTGTATAAATTAATCCATCTCCACCCCATTTCACACATGTTATTGCAAGTGTGTGGCCAGTAAGACAAATAACACATTTCCTTAATGAAACATCCCAAATGCGTGCATCACCATCTTTGCTAGCACTAACAAACCGGCGGCATGGTGCATTCAAGTGGACTGGTTCCCAAGAGATGCCAGTAATCCATTTTTTGTGACCCTAAGACAAGAAAAGTTGCCGATATCAGCATCTACTCTTTATTTTGAACAGAACATCCATTCAAGTATAGTGATCTTACCACAAGTGGATTGCCCAGGGGATTTCCCGTTTGAGGATCCCAACACTGAAGTTCTCCAGACTTGCTGCCACTGACAAGATGTTTACCGTCTGGTGACCAAGCAATAGAAAGAACCCAATTCTTGTGTCCTGAATCAAGAGTTATCTAAAGTTAATAAAAGACAAAGAATAGCGGGCACCATAATTTAGATGCTAATCCTGCCTGTCAAACATCAACTATCACTGCACACACACACACACACACCCATAGGCACATAGAGACACATAGTGAGGTAACTTTGCCAAACGTGCAGCAACCAACAATTAGAAACATTCAGTCAAAACGTTCGGACTAGCAGAGCATCTTCATTTGTTAAAATGATAATCTAAGATCCAAGCGATAACAATTGTTGAACTTACTCTGGCTGCTGAATGTTTCAAGAAATTAAGTAACCTACGATATTCAAATGCTTTTCTTGAGCTATGTCTTTTCAAGTGTGTGGATGTTTTTAGAATTATGTCTGAGTAGATATTTTTTATGCCCTAAAATTAATTACAGAGGAAGAATTCAAACCTTTACATGTAAACAGTGGTGTTTGGGTATTAAGGTCCCATAGACGAACAGTAGTATCTCCAGAACCACTTGCCAACTGCCTACCATCAGGACTAAAAGCAACTGAAAGTACAGCTTCTGAATGACCTGCACTACCAAAACAATATCATATTTAAGAAAGCAATGAGTAACACTAAATTGCATGCTGATCAATCGACCTAAAGAAACTTGGTCCGTGCCACATGCACAAAAGAATGTATTCTTTTAATACCAAAGCCGCCAACTGCATAAAGGTAACATGACTCAAACAGGGACATTCACCTGCAGCACAATTACTTCATTGGCTTGTGCAAGTATCTTGTCATCTTCTGACTTTGATGAAATTTCATGCTTCAGGAGCATATTTTCCATGATTTTTCTTTTCTCAACCAAAAAATGCTTTACCCAGGTAAGAGAGATCCATCATCAATCATTAAACATTTTGATTGAGTTTGTGCAGTATTTCTACCGCGTTGTATTTTGTGCCTTACAAAATACATAATTTTTTCCTTGGGCAGGAAATAAAAGATAAAGCGAAGATCTTATTTTCACATGAATATGATTGCATAATTTAAGATTTTAACAATACTTGAGTACTTGACATAAATCCTTACTTTCTAATAACTCTGGACTTGGATTTTACACTATATCAGTTCTGGAGCATTCCTAATGGGGAATTGCCAATGCTAGCTGCCCTAAACTGCTAAAATCCTAACCACCAACACAAAACACCAAACCCAATTTGTTTACAATATCAAATGTGAAATCACAGCACGTTAAGAAACTAAAAACTTAAAATGACTATTCTGAGAGGCAATGATTCAATAGTCACTAGTTAAATAGTTCAGTGCAGCTCCCACCAATCATATTTAACTGACTGAGAATGTTATCTAGCTTTAATATGCCACAAAAAGTTATTATGCCATAAATGTGAAGGGGCTGCTGTAAAACCATTAAAATGTAAAATGACAATGATGTAAACACAAGAAGAAAACCAATATCATACCAGCAATAGTTGCTGAACAGCGATTAACTGGACGAATTCGGAAAACGGCTTGTGGTTGATAAACAATGGGAAGTACCTTCTCCACAGAAACTGAAAAAGTTTTTAACCACATAAATCAGCGAACTAATAAACTTGCATTATATTTTGCATGTTGAATTGTATCCTGTTCCCTTCTTTGTAACCTCACTAACCTTTGTTCTTCTGTAAGTAAGTTTCAAGTGGAACCAGAAGCTCTTGATCTGATATGTAGAAAGAATACGGCAACTTCTCTTCCTAAACCAACCAAAATGCAAAATTAAGCTTTTTTTTTTTTTTCTCATTCTCTTCCTTTTTAGCAGCAATTCATTCTAGTTGTATAAGCACATAGCTCAAGTATTTCAAACACCCATAAATGCTTCAACTTTACCTTTTGCAATTGTACACCTACTAATTATTCGCTTAACTGTTAACAGAGTTTCAAAAACAAATGACTAGACTTATTTTCTTATCAATTTCACAACCAAATGGACCCAGTACTACAACGACTCATATAACAATAGGAGAAAAAAACTTACATTGTTAAGAAGCTTATTGACGATTTGCATAAGCTGTTGCGGACCAGCGTTCTGCGGAAGATACAAGGGAGCTCCTAGAGCCGTCCCTTCCCTGTCCTTTAATTGGCACATAACGTTATTCACCGTTTCAACCTCCATTCTCTTGCTGCTCGAAAGATGAGAACTTTAACTATGTATATATACAATTGTAAATTTTTTCAGGACTTGCACTCGAGGAACTTTTGGGATTTTGCGTCTGCGATATGTGCAGACAAAGAAGAATTAGGGTTTTTCAGGGGTTTAAAGAACGGGCAAACTACAATAGTGAATAATGACTTTTCTGTATCCATACCGAAGCTTTTTCTACCACGAGATTTAAATTCCCTAATAATCAACCATTGGATTAAATCATGAGTTGTTAACTCACTAAACAGTACTTAGTTTTTTAGTTTTTTTTTTTAATAATAGTTTAAATAAAAGCCTTAAAAAAATTCGGGTTTTTAAGGTGTTTGTCGGGACGAAATTACAAAATTGAACTGGACCATATTCCTCTTCCCTTCCGATGATGCGGACGCATGTAGGTTGACAGTGGATAATAAGTATTGTTGGATTGAATCGTTTGGTAAAGATACCATCTTTAAATAGGGAGTCCTGGCTCTGATACACAACGACACCGTTTATTTGAATCAGCTCATCGTTTTTAGCTCACAACTCAGCTCACAAGCATGTCTGATTGTTTCTAGTGTCCCTTCCCTACCATTCAAAGTTTGACTTCGATTGTTCTTGGTTCATCGTTGTTCTTCTTGAAATTGAAATGGTTCTTCAAAACTGAGCTACTGATCACTTCATCATTTGCGCTTTGCTCTGCCCAGAACACATCACAATGTCTAATCGCACTTCTCAACGACATTTCACTTCTTTGCTTACCACAATATTAGTATTGCTACTATTACCAGTCGCCTTGTCAAGTTCAAGAACTGAAACAATAGAGACTTTACTCAACCGGTTGGATTCTAAACAGGCATCCGCATCAGTTCAAGAATCAGCAGCTAAAGGTGTTTTGAAAAGATTGCTTCCTTCCCATGTGCACAGCTTTAAATTCAAGATTATCTCCAAGGTAAATAAAAAACTTTTACAATAATGATTCTCAATTTTTGTTATTAGAATTATGAGTTTTTATCTTGGTGTTGCTTAAAGAACTTTTACAATAACGACTCTCACTCAGTTTTGTCAGTAGAATTTTGAGGTTTTATCAACGTATTGCTTTCTATTGACTGGTATTTGCTTTGTCATTCTCAGTTTTGCTATGATCAAGAACTTTTGCAATAATAATCCTCAGTTTTGTGGTTAAATTATGAAGTTTTATCTTGGTATTGCTTAAAGAACTTTTACAATAACGATTCTCAGTTTTGTCAGTAGAATTATGAGGTTTTATCTTCGTATTGCTTTCTATTGACTGGTATTTGCTTTACGCCGTTTTCAACCTCCATTCTCTTGTCTGCTGCGAGAAGAGAGGAACTTTAACTATGTATAATATACAATTGTAAATTTGCTTTCAGGACTTGCACTCGAGGAAAACTATTTGGGATTTGTTGCGTCTCTATGTGCAGGACAAAGAAGAATTAGGGTTTTTCCAGGGTTTAAAGAACGGGGCAAACTTTACAATAGTTGAATAATGAACTTTTCATGAATATCCATAACCGAAAGGCTTTTCTTTCTTACACGAGATTTAATTCCCTAAAATAATCAACCATTGGAATTAAATCAATTTGAGTTGCTTAAAAAACACTCACTAAACAGTACTTAGTTGTTTTAGGTTTCTTTTCTTAATAATAGTCTTAAATAAAAACCTTAAAAAAAAATTCGGGGTTTTTTAAAGGTGGTTTGTACGGGCAGAAATTACAGAAACTTGACACTGGAACCATAATTCCTCTTCCCCTTTCGATGATGCGGACGCATGTTAGGTTTGACAGTGGATAATAAGTATGTTGGATTGAAAATCGTTTTGGTAAGAACCATCTTTAAATAGGGAAGTCCTGCTCTGATACACAACGGATCACCGTTTATTCTTTGAATCAGCTCATCGTTTTTAGACATCACCAACTCAGAACTACACAAGCCATAGTCTGAATCTTGTTTCTAGTGTACCCTTCCACTCACATTCAAAAGTATTGACTTCGATTGTTCTTCGTTCATCGTTGTTACTTCATTGAAATGAAATGGTTTTCAACACTGCAAGCTACTGATCATTCATCATGTTTCGCGCTTTTGCCTTGACCAGAAACACTTCACAATGTCTAATTCGCACTTCTCACGGACATTTCACTTCTATTGCTTTCACCACAATATTAGTATGTGCTTACATCCAATTACCAAGGGTACGCCTTGGTTCAGTTTCAAGACTGAAACAATTAGAGACTCTTACTCAACCGGTTGGATTCTAAACAGCAATACCGCATCAGTTCAAATCAAGCAGTATAAAGGTGTTTTGAAAAGTACTTGGCTTCCTTTCCCATGTCGACAAGCTTTAATTCAAGATTATCTCCAGGATAACTAAAAACTTTGATACATAATGATTCTCAATTTTGTTATTTAGAATGTATGAGTTTTGTCTCTTTGTGTTGTTAAAGAACTTTTCGATCAAGGACTCTCACTCAGTTCATTTAAGTCAGTAAGAATTTTGACCGGTTTTATAATCCGTATTGCTTTCTATTGGACTGGTATTTGCTTTGTCATTCTCAGTTTCTGCTATGATCAACGAACTTTCTGCAATAATTAATCCTCACGTTTTGTGGTAAATAATTATGAAAGTATTATATCATTGCGTATTGTGTTAAAGAAACTTTCTACAAATAAAGATTCTACAGTCACTTATGTCAAAGTTATATGAATTATCTTAAAGAACTTTTACAATAACGACTCTCACTCAGTTTTGTCAGTAGAATTTTGAGGTTTTATCAACGTATTGCTTTCTATTGACTGGTATTTGCTTTGTCATTCTCAGTTTTGCTATGATCAAGAACTTTTGCAATAATAATCCTCAGTTTTGTGGTTAAATTATGAAGTTTTATCTTGGTATTGCTTAAAGAACTTTTACAATAACGATTCTCAGTTTTGTCAGTAGAATTATGAGGTTTTATCTTCGTATTGCTTTCTATTGACTGGTATTTGCTTTGTCATTCTCAGTTTTGCTATGATCAAGAACTTTTGCAATAATAATCCTCAGTTTTGTCCGTTAAATTATGAGGTTTTATCTTGGAATTGCTTTCTACCTACTGGTATTGCTTTGTCATGGCCAGTTTTGCTATGCTCTAATTGTTATTGCTTCTTAATATTCCGTGAACTTGCTGGAAAAAAATTGTAAGGGTCTCCACTTTGGCAACCTGCAGTTGTTTTTTCGGCCTCTTTTATATATGGGGGGCTCCTTTTTCTATTTGCTTGTGTGTATGTGCAGTGCACTGTTTAGGTTGTGTTATTTCTTTGTGTGGTTTAAGTTTGAAAAGTCACGATTTGGATATTTGCTTTCCAAGAGACTAGGTGTTATTGTACTTTTGCATTATAATCAGTATTGTTGATTATCTTATTTTCAAATATCAGGATGTTTGTGGCGGAAAAAGTTGCTTTTTGATAAACAATTACAAGGAATCAAACCAGAATGGGCCTGAGATAATGTATGCAGGTTTGGTTCAGTTATGAATTTGTAGCAGAACTTGTTGGACATGATAAATTAGTAAAGTCTCTCCATAATATTTGTTACTTTCCATATGTCAATTTTAATATTTGGATTTTCTATGGGCTACTTTTACCCTTTTCTGGAGAAAACATGTTTTTAAAAATTTCCATATGTCAACATCAAGTAGAAATATGATTTGTCAATTTCAAAGTGATTGTTTTGACATTCGAATGTAATTAAAGTGATTGCAATGGAGCATGAAGACTGTAATTGAAAGAGTTATAACATATTTTAATGCAATTGCTTTTGTAGTACCTGATTATGAGGTAGTCTGGGGATTTCAAATTTCTTACATTTATTTTACCTTTCATGTATAATTCCCTTCACTTCAATGTAAGTATGTTATTGATTTGGCGTGTTTGCGATCTCCTTGTTTCTATCTCTTGCTTTCAGTATCAAAGGCACCACTGGTGTAGACCTGGCATCGGGCCTCCACTGGTATATAAAGTATTGGTGTGGAGCTCATCTTTCATGGGACAAGACTGGTGGTGCCCAGATAGGTTCAATTCCTAAGCAAGGATCACTGCCTCTTATAAAGGATGGGGGTGTAATGATTCAACGGCCTGTCCCATGGAACTACTACCAAAATGTTGTTACATCTAGTTGTCAGTACTAAATCTTTTGTCTTCTTCTTACATCTAGGAAACTTTAATTGTTGTTCTACTCAGATGGTATGTAGTGATATTGCAGCTAACCCAGAGAGCATGGAGGACTCAAGTATGTGCAATGAAAATGAAATGAATTGTAGTATAGGTTGTTATTATGATTCCAAATCCAAACAAGTGCTAATGAGGACAGTATGTGATCCATTATCACTGCCTTATTCATCGAGTTTCTAAACATCTCAATTCTTGAGTTGCTTTTTCACTAACACATTGCATCTACCCTTATCATATTTATGTCAGTTTGCAAAATCTCATATAGCAGTATATTATTTGCTGTTAGTCTGTGAACAGTCAATTCATGTTACAAGGGCGCCTTCCTCGTAATAACTAAGTTTTCTATACTATTTCGTTATTTCACTATATTGAATTCCTCAGTGACATTAGCTAGTATCGATGATACATGATGACATTTTCTTTTTCCTTCTTTTCTCTTTTTTCAGATTCATATGTTTGGTGGGATTGGGAAAGATGGGAGAAAGAGATAGATTGGATGGCTTTTCAAGGGATTAATCTGCCCTTGGCATTCACAGGACAAGAAGCCATTTGGCAAAAGGTTTTCATGGTAAGCAATTTTTGGATCTTTTTGTTTATCTTGATGCGAAGTGAAATTTATGGGTCATGCAGCTAATAGATAAATTCATATCTTATATCCTATCAAATGATGATTTTTGTCATGATATGATTTCCATGTGGAAGGACTATGTACAGTACTGGCTTTTTAGCTTAACATTCTGTCTGCAATGTTAGTAAGCTACCATTAAATGCATGTGTCCACTTAGTTTTTTGTTCTCAATGCTTCTGGATATGCTATCTGCTGGTACATAAATGCAGTAGATGGCTCCCTGTGTGGTAGATAATTTCTTTAATCACTTTGTTAGTACTTCAAAGCTAATTGTACCTCCAGCTAAGATTTTTTTCTTCTGAGAATTCTGGCTGTCTGCATGTGGTCTTCTCATATGTTCGTACTTTCAAATGAATAGAGGTTGTTTGAATGACTTCTCAGAAGAACAAAATCTTTGATTTTCACCTCTTACGTCCTAACAGAATGTAAATGGACTTTTAGGCTTGACTTATCTTTGGAAAATATTTTGATGAAATATCTTTTGATCTGCAGAATTTTAATGTTAGTGCAGAAGATCTGAAGGACTTCTTCGGTGGACCTGCTTTCCTGGCGTGGGCTCGGATGGGGAATTTACATGCGTATGTAAATCATGAAAGTGTTATACATATATGAGATTTTTGTATGTTGGATTAGCCACAGTGCAAGATAGTCGGTGCTTCTCACTTGGCCGATTAAACATGTTGCTTTTGTTTGTTCTCTTCATGTGCTTCAGTTCCTGAATTGACATTACCTAATCACAGGTGGGGTGGGCCGTTGTCACAAAATTGGTTGAATCAACAATTGAGATTGCAGAAACAGATTGTCTCTCGGATGCTAGAGCTAGGCATGACTCCAGGTATAGTTAAGTACTCTAATATGAAATTTGTTGTTGCTTGCTTGCTTACAGTCTCCATGTAAGTTTATGAACAGAAAAAATACATCCAAAGAGATATTTCTGGCATATATCCTGTAACAGAAACTTCTATTATATCCTTTAACTCTAACAATCTAACTGATAAAATGTATTATCTTCTTTGATCCAGTGTTACCATCTTTCTCTGGGAATGTTCCAGCAGCTTTGAAGAAAATTTTTCCCTCAGCTAATATAACCAGACTTGGAGACTGGTACCTTAATATTTTGTTATATGCATCATAGGTCATTAAGTCATCCAATGCCCTATGGAATTCTTCCAATTATGCCATATATATGAGATTCACAAAGCAGCAATCATTCCAGAGACTTTGAAAGGCCTACAAGTTCCCCTTGCTTAATTAATTTACATCATGTTATGTTTTATGACACAACAAAAATCACAGTTGTGTTTAGTTACCTTCTCTGTAACTTAGCTTTCTTCTCGTTATGCAAAAGCTACCTGCTTTCACATACTATCTTAATAAGATTGTCATTTCTTATTCTTTCCAGGAATACAGTAAATAAAAATCCTCGCTGGTGCTGTACTTACCTTCTTGCTCCTTCTGATCCTCTGTTTGTTGAAATTGGGGAGGCATTTATAAGGCAACAAATTAAAGGTTCAAATTTCTTAATCTCCTTGATACGACCTGGATTATTTTCAATTGGTATATTTATAAAATTTATTCTATTTCTAGATCATCAAATAGTTTAGTAAGATATTAGAGATTACATTAACAAACTGGTAAGTTTTTGGTAAAAATATAGGAATACCAAGGAAAGGAAAGCATTAAATTAGCAATGCCTTATGATTTGCCTAAAAAACCTTTTGTCTTTGTTTTAAGTTTGGCAAAATGATAGAATAAAGGATTAAAATTTTCTGGCATTTTATAGTTTATTTATTGCTAGTACATTGTTGATCTGGTTCAAATCTTGTATAAGCAGTATTTGTCCTGTCTGAAAGCATTAAAATCAGACTGGATGTTGAATGCTGTTTGAAATCACATTTATGAACCCTGAGAATATAAGTGATTTTGGGTTTCACGCGTAGAATTTCTGATGCATCACAAACAAATACCCTGTGACATCAACCAATGAAATATAGATTTATCATTTATAGACATTTTACCTTGTTAGTCAGAGTACAAGTATCGATTCATCTTTTGCTTAAGTCAGTTGGTGGAGTTCTACATAACAAATTATTTGTTTGCATTCCTTGGAGTTATTAAATTCCAACGATGGAGCTTGCTCAGTTTTCTTTGGGCTTTTTGTTGACTTCTGTGTTAAAGCTATTGATGGAAGAAGCAATTTAATTAACATATGAAAAAGTTTTTCATCATTTTTCTATTTATCCTTTTAAATACTTTACCAAAATTATTTTCCATTTCAAAATCTTCTTTTTCCTTTTTTCTTTCTTATACTTCTGCATATTTATCACCTTAAATTAATTAGAATGGAAATGGTAAATGGTTCATATAGTATAGCCAACCCAACTCGTTTCGAACTAAGGCTTGGTTGTTATTGTTGTTGTCATTTTTCTATTTGTTAACCTTTCCTGATTTTCATTTGTGGTATTTATTTCAGAATATGGGGATGTGACAGACATCTACAACTGGTAACTTCTGTTATATATCAACACTATACATCTTGTCTTCTTCAAGCTTGTAACTAAAGTGGTTTATAAATCTATATGCTCTTCATAATAGATTTTTTTATTTTTATTTCAACACTTCCATTTGGTCCTGAAGCTTTGATCTCTGAAATTTATTGATGACTTTTAGACTTGGTCTCTTGGCAATTTCCAAGTTGCCAATGATCCAGAACTGAAATGTTATGTTATTTCCACTCCTGGTTATGGACCATGTAGAAAGCTTCTTTTGAATGATCACCAAATCTCTTAGAAGCCTGTAAACTATAACCAACGCTGTTCTTTAAAGATGAGCCAGAAAATTATAGTTTCCAGAATTCTTTTATATCATAAAATCTTTCTTCATTACTGAAAAAAAAGGAAAAAGAAGAAGCGAAACCTCCTTGCAAACTAAATGATGTTTGAAACCTTGTTACTGATGAGTGTTATAGGACCATTCTCATTTCTTTCCATTTTATTATCTTCATTCCATGCTTACTAACGTGAATTTATTATATGTTAACATGTTTGATATAGTGATACATTCAATGAAAATACCCCACCTACAAATGATTCAGCATACATCTCTTCACTCGGTGCTGCTGTATATAAAGCAATGTCCAAAGGTGATGAAGATGCTGTGTGGTTAATGCAAGTATGCCCGCTCATTCTCCTTACACACTTCTCTTGCTAATCTTCCACTTTGCTGAAGACAATGTTTTATTTTGGTGATTTGAAGTACAGTAATGTTTTCCAGTTGACAGTTCTTCTAATGTGTAGGGTTGGCTATTCTACTCAGATTCTTCCTTCTGGAAGCCACCTCAAATGAAGGTATGAATTTGTACAAGACAGTAATGAAAATGTAGTGACATATGAGATGACAAGTATCTCTTACTCAAAATCTGAAAATGACATGTCACACATTCCAAACATAAATATTATTGGTTAACCTTAAACTTGGTGTTATCTGCAGGCACTTCTGCACTCTGTTCCATTTGGGAAAATGGTAGTTCTAGATTTGTTTGCTGATGTCAAACCAATATGGAGCAACTCCTCTCAATTTTATGGCACTCCTTATGTCTGGTACTTAGCTGTTTCTTCCACCTCTAGCAGCATGTTTTAACCTTCTCTCTCTCTCTCTCTCTCTTTCTCTCTCTCTCTCACACACACACAGGAAGCAGCATGTTCAATCTTTTTGTTGTGCCTATTTTACCCTTCAGTTTCAGAATTTGGGTTTCAACTGAATTTTACTTAAATCAGGTGTATGTTGCACAATTTTGGCGGAAATATTGAAATGTATGGAATTTTGGATGCAATATCTTCAGGTCCAGTTGATGCCCGTGTTAGTGAAAATTCAACCATGGTATCCTCAGGGTCCTATCTGAATTATAATTATTATTATCACACAGCATAATACCTGAAGCATTTAGAAATTTTGAACCAGCATAGTTTTCTGTACATCATCTGGCAAAGTTTCTGCAGTACTTCTAAAGACTATGAACCAGTTTCACCCATGTAAATTGTAACTACTGTTGCATGTAGGTTGGTGTTGGAATGTGCATGGAGGGAATAGAGCATAACCCGGTTGTTTATGAGCTGATGTCTGAAATGGCATTTAGAAGTGAAAAAGTTCAAGTTCTGGTAATTTTAATTCTCTTATTGTTATTCAATTCTTAGATATGTTTCTCATTCGTTTTAAAAGTACTTGGCATGTTTCCTCTCTTTCTTCACCTACTTAAGCTTACATTAATATCATGATGTAATGAGAATTTTAGATGGATGCATAATAGATAAAATCTAATTCTGCGTATGTTATTGTCATTGCTATATGTTCATGGTTTACTTCCATGCTTTTATAGGAATGGCTGAAGTCCTACTCTCGTAGACGATATGGTAAAGCAGTTCATCATGTTGAGGCAGCTTGGAAGATCCTTCACCGCACAATCTACAATTGTACAGATGGAATTGCTGTATGTTTTGAATAACTGCAGCATCTCTATGTCATAAAAAGTCCTTTCTAATCTTTTCATCCATTGCAGGACCATAACACAGATTTCATAGTAAAATTTCCGGACTGGGATCCATCTGCAAATTCTGGATCTGAGGTATCAAAAGAAGTCGAGATACATTCCTTTCTCCCCATACCTGGAACCAGAAGATTCTTATTTCAAGAGCCAAATTCCAAGTTGCCCCGGGCACACTTATGGTATGCTACTCAGGAGGTGGTCAATGCATTACAGCTATTCCTCGATGCTGGAAATGATCTCCTGGGAAGCCTCACATACAGGTTTGATGCTTAAATGGTTAAATGTGAAACCTGTTCATCCCATTTCTACTTATAGATTGTATCCATCGTTCTTTTCGGCATAGCACTGGATACAGAGAGGAGAAAGTTCATAATCATGATCACTTATGCTATTTCTTTACAACAGATATGACTTGGTGGACTTAACGCGGCAAGTTCTATCAAAGCTTGCAAACCAAGCATACATTGATTCCATAATTGCTTTTCAGAGGAAAGATGCAAATGCCTTGAATCTCCACAGCCGGAAATTTATACAACTCATTAAGGATATCGATTTACTTCTTGCTTCTGATGATAATTTTCTACTCGGAACATGGCTCAAAAGCGCAAAAGAGCTGGCAGTGAATCCTAGTGAGATGAGACAGGTGAGAACTACAGTTCTTTAGCTTTGAAATTTATGTGTTATTCTTTGAACAGAAGCATACATGTTGTATCATTACTTAAATCATAGGGCAACCCTTCTCAACCGACCATCATCAAGATTAGCAAGTGCATCTATTTAGAATGAATAAATTTTGTAGAATTCATTTGAAATTTCGTGTTTTTATGTTTGTATGAAAGTAAACATTCGTTCCACTACCATATTTCAATTTCATGGAATTCAACAATAACTAAATTAAATTCTATCATTTGTAAATGAATTATCCACTTTAAATTCATTTATGCCAAACCTAAGGTCAAAATCCAGCTGAACTTAGGCATGTGAAGGCAATGCATAAGAATGAATTCGCATCATCTTACTTCTATTGTCTTCAGTCTGATATGGCAAAGATAGCGTAAGATTTCTGAATTTATTGTTCTTTTTTTCTTGATTCAGTATGAATGGAATGCAAGAACACAAGTGACAATGTGGTATGATACGACAAAAACCAATCAAAGCAAGCTCCATGATTATGGTAACATTACTATTTAATTTCATCCTACGTTTATTATTTTTCGAGCTCATTTCAGGTTTAACCATTGCACATTCCTTGTACTTGATCAGCTAACAAGTTCTGGAGTGGGCTATTGAAAGACTATTATCTGCCGCGAGCTTCGATATATTTCGATCATTTGTTAAAAAGCTTGAAAGGTAATAAAAAGTTCAAGATTGAAGAATGGAGGAAAGAATGGATAGAATTTTCAAACAAATGGCAAGCAGACACAAAGCTTTATCCAATGAAGGCCAAAGGAGATGCTCTTGCTATTTCTAAAGTATTGTATGAAAAATATTTTGGTTAACAATTTGAAATGTTCCATTTATTAAAAAGAGTACTCCATTGGGTTCCTCATAGAAACCAAGATGAATGGGTGATTGTAATCCAACGGCCTACAAATTTTATGGCTTTACAAATAAATTGTTGTTCAGTTTTTTCTCATCTTTCCATTTTCGGAACACGTTTCAAATCAGGATTGCACTGTTATAATTTGGGTAGAAGAATCAAATCACATTATGGATTACTGCTCCGTTTGTTTCTATAAGAGTACTAGTAGAAAAATATTTTTCGCAATTTTTCGTCATTTGGAGACTTCGGAAAAATAAGTCAACGGAAAATATTTTTCAGGTCAAAGGAAAACTAAGTTACTTTTAACGAAAATGACTTCCCATTTTCAAGAGCAGAAAACAAGTTCTTTGAAAATTATTTTTTAAAGGTAAATTATTTTCTGAAAATAACCGGAGCTTTAATCCCTTACTTTGAATTCACCCATTATGGGTCTGATTCACTCATCTCATCAATGACATTTCCATTTCTATCAATTTAATATTTTTTTTTTTCTCTCCTGAACTATTTTTCAATATCCAATTAAGGTCAATTTTGGATTTGTTCGGTAAAATTAGCTATTTTGATAATTGCTAACCTTTTTATAAAACAATATCTTAACTATCAAACACTGTGTTACCGAATGCTAGTTAATTTAAATGTTATGCTACCGAATGCTATAAAAAATAGCGTTTACCAAAACGCTAAAAGCTACTTAAAAGTTGTTGCGGATCGAAGTCTTGGTATATTTATAAACATCTTTGCTTTTAATAATTTAAGCATAATCAAGTTTTTAATAATAAATTGTCGTTAGTGATAAACAAACCAAGCTAGCAAAAATCAACCAATAGGCCTATATAAAAAGCCAGAAAATGAACTCAGTAGTTTTTCTTTTCTTTTATAAACAAGTACAATTAGAATACATAGTATACCACCCACACAATTTTCCTCTATCTCATTTCTTCCTCATGTGAACCACCAATTACATATTCCTACATCATTTATCTCCAAAATTCCCTGGTACGGTAAATCTCTAAGGCTTAGCAGCAGACTCTGTAAGGACATGTCCTGTCCCGCTTTTCTCGATTGTCGATCTTCATCCTATTTTTGGAATGACATTAAGGGTCTGAATTGAATTTGAATCAAAAACTATCTGGCCATCAATGTCATTGATCACATTTTTATCATCATCATCAAATTGGGAGTCATCAAACGGTCCATATAGTCATAATATCGCTTCTGGAATGCCAAGCTTACCACTAAGATATAATTGTGTGGGAATATCACACTTGTGTAGACTTGAAACTGCTTCTGTTTGTGTCAAAGTTAATGAGCCAGTCAATGCTAGTAATGGCTCTAGCAAAAATGTTTGACTCTCATTTTTCCTTCCTTTTTCTTCTCTCATTACTTCTAATAAAGATTTACTTGTGTCGATGCCTGTTAAGTCGATACAAAAACATGGATTTAAGTAAGATGCAGAAACCAAAATAACCATTAGTGTTCATAAATTTCTTTAGGAACAGTTTTGTGCTCACCTGAAAGGTATCCACCGTGGACGTAACCGTTAAATCTTTCACTAGTATGCTCACCGGTAAAGAAAATGCGCCCTACTGGGGACTGAGCGATACATAGAACAAGTAGTTCCAGTGTTAGAACACAATCAGAAATGCCTAGCAAAGCTTGTGTTGTATATAAAATTGATTGCTAAACAAATACGAAAAATTCTCTTTTTTCAGTGCAGATAAATATTTAAGCAAGTTTTCCTGTTCCACAATTAGAATTCAATTAGGGTGAGGAATGATTAGCTTATGAGAAAAGAGCTTAGCTAATAAAATTGTACCCCAGATGAAAGTAAGATTTAAGCATAAGAATAAATAAGCATGTTTTCCTTTGTACTCCCAGTTTTTATTTATTTACTTATTCTGCTCTAAGCTTTCCACATTTCTAACAAGAGTTATTTCACTTCATATTGCGGGTAATAAAATTCGAGAAAATGGAAGAAAAACAGAATTCTTTCATCTAGAGCATCTTTACTCAGTCCTGATCTCAACTCTGATATACAGAGACAACATAAAATGCCATTACGGATTAACACTTGAGTCGAAGATTTATAAAACTTTTTCGTTAATTTTTATTCGAATGTTGAGAATATACAACAGAGCCAGCTGTATTGGATATTAATTAAATAGCATGAAGTATATGAAACACAAGTCAAATAGGTTACCTTAATATCATGAAGAACTTGGTTATTTGAAATGATGGGGTAATTGCTATAGCTGCCACGCTGAAATCTGTTGTTCCACCAGCGTGGCACAAGAATATCCGTGGCGTTAGGTATGTTGGGCCCAAACATGTCTCTAAGTACTTCCATGGCTTCTTTCAATGTCTCTTCATCAGATTGAGCCTCCACACGTTTCGATTCCCCATTGGTCAATGTCACAACCAGGATATTGGAACCAGGGTATGCATTCTCCATGTGCTGATGACACAGCAACAGATCATTAGCCAACTTGGATAAAATATTGTAAGTTAGAAAATACGTATGAATCATATTTAAAAAAAAAAATGAAAAAGATTGAGACAGTTAGCTCCCAAATTGCCTCACCAGGAAGCTCCGATTATTAAAATATTTGCTACCTGATTTAATCAAGCGAAGGAAAATATTTTAGATGTGTTACTTTCTATAAGAGTAAACAATGGTTGAGAGAGCGATTGGTTCCCCTAATGCAACTATGTTGCCAGGTCTAGGATAATGACAGAAACTCAGGTACACATCACTAAGGGGCAACCATACAAAACAATAATGCAAGAGATTTTAGTTTGCCTTCCCAACAAAAAAGGTAACCAATATTTTTATAAGTTTGTAATCATATTACCAAATCATATAAGGAAGTAGCTGCAGCGCAGAAGAGAAAATACAAGCAAAAATAGTAAAAAGGTCAAACTCATAGAAAACATGCATTAATTGATGTTTCAAACAAAAAGACAAGCTTTTTTCATAAATAACAGTGTTCTGCCTAAGCATTTGGAAGTCATAAGATTCTTTTGATGACGAACTTGCATAATTTAAAAAGATTATCACATCCATTTAGAATATGTTTTTCAAAGGAAATATTATTTTTAACACACAGTTAAACACTTGAGAGGCTATTGCAGGGTTATCATCATCGACTTAATTCACAAAATTAATCTAGGTAGCAGCAAAGACAGTATACTTTTTTAAGTATTTAGACGACTGTATTGTACTTAACAAAGAAGGAATTAAAATCTTGTGCTTGACAGAATAATGAGATGTTATAAATCAGTAGAAGCAGTAACAGACAGTTATATATATTGGCAACATAGACAAGAAAAAGTGAGAACCCACCTGCCAAAATGTGTAGTATCCTCTCCGCTCATGGGCGTAGATAAAGAACTCCTTTTCAGGACTACACGGCCAAAATTTATATGGAAACTTGAGGAAAATCTTTGTGTATACCATCACATCACATCTCCCTATGGCCTCTGTTTTCCACTTCTGCATAATAATTTTCTTTTCTTGTCAATAATTGATCAAATCCACCATCAAATTACTGTTACAATATGATCATAGAAAACTTCAAACCAGCTAAACATTCTCAGGCTAGGAAACACATTAAAAAAAAAAAAAATAGTGTGCGTGATTATTCAAATGTGGATTGATGAATAAAGTTCATATCTTCCAAGTCATTCCCAAGAAGATCTGTCAAGCACATTATCCAAGTCATGTGAAGTGATTAATATTCAACTGCTACGGATTTCCACAATTTATTACTGAACTCCATAGCTGGAGGAATATATATATATACTATTTTACAATACAAACAATGAAACCATGCTTAACCTTAAAAATTTCCTATAATCAAATTATCCCGCCCAACTGTATAAAAAATTTCTGTATATTTGTTTAATGCTAAATTTTGCCATTTACTTCTTCAAAATATTCCCTCTTTTTAGAAGGGAAAGGCGAAAGTAAGATTTCACCTTTAACGAGATATATGGATATTTAACCATTGGAGTATTGAAAAACTTGCAAAATACACATCTCTGGTAGCCATTTTCCTAAATCCACTAGTCCTGTCATTTGCAATTTCTCTAAATTATACTATCAAAATATGCAGGGCACACCATACTTTGACATTTATTTTATTTTATTTTATTTTATTTGAACTACTTAAAGATTGTTAGGCTCAAGAGGAAGTGGAAATTTTAGATTAAAAGGGTGTCACTATATTGCTCGTAAGTTATTACTAGCCAACAAATGTAGATTACGTTATTGGGAATTGACCGCTTGACAATAAAGTTGCAGGAATTGACCGCTTGACAATAAAATTTGCAACTTGTCAAGCTAAGAAGCACACGTGGTGAGCCAAACAAAAACGGTTCATCAAAGAATAGCGACCCAATCTACCTACCCACCACCAGCGGGCCTCTGGGTTGCCAATCTGTGGATTGCCATGCAACCCAGGGCATTTCCTTCTACAAGGACAATCCAGACACCTCGAAAATCGACCACTGGCGTCATCAAACCAGCTAAAGCCTATTAAATACAAGACCTAGCTCCAATTGAATTCCTGACTACACTTAATGATATCTTATACTCTGGGCCACACCTACAGGCTACAGCATAAAATATCAATTGAAAAATCTGCAACTCCTATTCCTATCCTGTAGGGACCCATTTCCCAGTGCCTAGGGTCTTATCCCTACAGATTCCACTGCATTGAGCCAAAGCAACGCTAGTCACATTTTGACATTTTCCACTGTCGGACCCAGAACAATGCTAACCGCATTGAATGGTGAAGGTATAAAGAATGCCAATAAATTTAACTAATTCTAGAATTTTTAAGTCTCGTCGATTATGATGGGTTACACTTATTTTATTTGGCAAACAAATCTTGGTGCCCGCAATTAATTTTTAAGGTCAAGTTACAAGTATATTTGCTTCGTAGCAATATCTTTCGTGTGAACTCATTACTGCAATTAACATATTTTATTCATACTATGAATATTTTAAATCTATAAGCAAAGCTAGTGTCAAAATCATATAGTGAGAGAGGATTTTTCTTTTTACCAAGGTTTTGGCTAGCATCTTCAATGTTGCGTTATGCATGATGGTTAAAATATTAACAGAAAAGGGAATAAATAAATTAAAGGAAGAGAAGGCGTACGGGTAAAGGAGGTCTAAAAGAAATGAGGTCGCTTTGGAGAACACCGATGCTAACTGACAAAATCACATAACTGGCTTCGTAGACGCAACCATCCTCCGTTTCTACAATAACACCGTTTCTCGAGTGGTGTATTTCTCTCACAACCTGCCAAAAATCCATGCACAATATCAACACCCATATATGTATATTAAAAATGTAATGTAGTAGCTCTTTTAAGAGCTGGTAAAATCAGCATAGCAATGTCCAAGACACCTACTATAGCTAAATAAAGATTATTTCTTTTAAAATTAAAAAAAGGATAAAAAAAGAATCTTTAAAGTCAAACCAAGATATATGTGCAATGCAGTATTGTGTCCAGGAAATGGTACTGATTTATTAAAGAAGAATCTGTGCAGAGTGGAGGTACAAAGACCCAATTGGCTAACTATGGGATGTTTCCCAAAAACCACAGTGTATTATAGCAATTATAGGGAAATAGGCTCATTGATTTTCTGATTTTGAGAGCAATTGGAGTAAGTGAAGACAAAAACAGAACATTAAATGAAGAAATGGACAAGTCTATCTATTTTCATGTTCTTATTGAATTGATATGACATTTCAACTCCTGGGTAATGTGGTCTTCGGCCTTAGGTCATTGTGAACATTATGCAGGTTAGTGCAAAATGGTGAGTCAAGGGTCTACGGGCTAACGAAAGGGGTAAAAGGCAAAGGGATGGTGAATATGAGCCAATTCATGACTATATGATTGAAATCTGACATGTTGGTGGGTCAAATTTATGGCTTTTGGCAAGGGTCATCTACTCAAAAAGTTAATTCAAAGTTTGGTTTGCTAATTATGATTAAGATTGTGTAGAGATGCTGAGATGGTCAAACAGACCATCTTGTTCTTGCTTTTAAGTTTTGATGACTTGGTTATTCTCAGTATTAAACTAGACTAAATTAGTATTAAATTATAACATTAATCAAGTTCAAAAAAAAAAATGTAAAAGCAAGTCTCGCGCTTACTGGCCCAATAAACAAATTGCATTGCTTTACTTATCTAAATAATAAATCATGCAACGTTATTCATCCTTGCTTCTATTTTTTTCTCCTATTTTATTTCACAGTCAAAGGTGACTGGCAGAATATATCAGTTGGAGTTGAGGATGACAATTTTCTAAACCAGAACCTAGAGAAAAAAAATAATTATACCTTGGGAAATGATTAATAAGAGATGTTAACAAAAGGTACACAGCAGGGACCAAAAATAAAAATGAAAAAGAAAAGAAAAAGGCATACAGCTTTCATCATATGTCATTATCTGCTAACCTAAAGTGGGTCAATCAATCTCAACAGCAAAAAGATTGCAGTGCATGGATACAAAAAATTTTCACATACTTTTCACTATTCTTTTTTTTTAAATTATAAAAATATCTCTTTCAATTTAATAATAGCTTAATCTTTTCTTAATTTGATAATTATCCCTATAAAATTTAACATTGTCCCTTTTAGATGATTGAATAAACCATTCAAAAAAACAAATCGCATATCAACAAAATATATGTTAATAAAATGCCCGAAATCAAAAGATTTTTCTTCTCTCTTTCTCGTACCTTATTGAGTTTCAGACGATTGTCCAAGATTTTACCCTCGGAGGTAAAAAGAAAATCCTCAGCCATTTTGTATAGTAAACACTCATACCCTCTTTCATCTGCTACGAGAAATTCTCTTTCTCCTAAATCAACATATGTTGATATTGGCTCTACTTCTGTGCATCAAGAGAAAAAAAATATTTCTCATTTTCAAAGTTCAACTGTTCAAAACCCGAAAATATAAATTTATATATTTAATTAGCTGAGATGTGATAATTTAGTTTCTTTATAAAGTAAATCAACAAAAAGACGTAAACACAATTAATTTAACATTTTCGTCTTTTTTTTTCTTTCCGGGAAACTGACCTGCCATCTCAAAGTCATGGAGAATGAAGTCAATGGCGAGCTCTATTGGCGTCTTTGGTGAGCTAAACAAACAAAATAACCAAAGAAATACAATTTTATTAGAAGTTCATTTCTACTGGCAAATGCCAAAAAAGACTTTTTTGTAGCGACATCAAATAATACTTACCAAGGCGGTTCAATGACTTCGCAAGCATGGTTTGCCTCTTGGCTCCTCAGCTTCATAATCGCCGAGTCCACCGCTTTCTTGTATGAATCGGCAGCCACGCCACTCGGAAATATCTTCCCACTGCAACCCAAAGAAAACCATTAGCATAAAATGGCACCAAAATGTGCAGTGTTAAATGCATACCACTTATCTGTGGAAAAGCAAAATAATATTGTTCTTCAAATTAGAAGAAATTTCAAATCATAAGAGTATTAATTGAATTAATCTCACTAAAACGAATACATTAAACAAAGAAAACTGTGCATCTGTTGTTAATTTCAAAAAGAAATATGTATTTTTCGAAATCAATTATATATAACAAAATAATTAAACTATTCCACATTTAAAACAGAAAACAACAAACTGCACCGCTATTTTCAAAAGCTAAAAAGTTCCACAAAAAACAGAGAAACAGAAATAAGAAGGTTCGGGTAGCAAAGCGGATTCGGATTTACGTATTATATACCTGCGATCATAGATATTATAACGAGCATTGCTATAGTCAGAGAAGCAAGTACGGAGACCGGATTGATTAGCGAGTTCCCAAACCGGATTAGACTCTTTACCACCAACACCGGCGATCCAACCAGCACCGAGTTCAACAGAGACACCACCAAAATTCTCTTTTCGGATCCTGCCGCCGATACGATCAGAAGCCTCCAAAATCACCATGTCTTCTATTCCATTTTCCGCGAGCACCTTGGCCGCAGATAAACCTTAAAAAATTACCAAAAACAAAAATTACAGGTCCATTGTTAATTGCGAAATTCACAAATATGCAATTGTATATCTAAGGACAAGTAGAAATGATATTGGTGATGGTTACCGGAGATGCCAGCGCCGATAATAATGACGGAGGAGCGAGAAGGTGAATCCATTTTGAGGAGAGAAAGAGAGACGGAAAGACAAGGAAAGCGGAGTGGTATCTGTGTTTCTGCTCGAGTTTTGTTTGCGAGAGAGGAGGAAGTAGCGGGAGCCGGTTTATATAGTTGTTCTTTTTTTATTTTTAATTTTTAATTTTTGTTTTTTTTTATTTTTTAATATTTAATAATGATGGTTTTCAAGATCGAGCACTTGGACATAAAGTATGAGCTTGGTTTGGTTCTCTTCTCTCTCCAATTTGACGGGGGTTGACTGAATGACGCGTAATTGTTAGAAGACGGAGGAAAAGGATGTAATGGTAATTTGATGTCGTTAATTATTATTTGTATTTTGTTTTTGTGGTTGATTTTGTTATGCTTTGACCTTCTCCACGTGTCATTAATTTTCCACCAATCTTGTTATTTAGAGTTTTTGAAAATATTTAAAACATGCATGAATCAATTCAATTTAATTAATTCCTCCATGTTTTAAATTTATTTAAAATATTTTAATTTTTTTTCAATGAAATAAACTATTTTCATTCATAAATAAAATTGTATGCCAATATTCAACAATGAAGTATATATTAATAATTTCAATTAGATTTCTTCTTCGTAAGTCTTCTTACTTGACTTGTGCAAAAAGTATGAAGGTTTAAATTTAAAATCTCATGATCATAAAAGTTTTCGATCTGCTGAATTTTTCGATGAATAAAAAAAAGTTGTAACCTTATTAAAATTATACTAGTTACTCAATTAATTATGGACTTGATGAAATGCGAGCATAATTAAGCTTAGTCCGATATCCTGAAAAGGCCTATTATATATAAGAAAAAAAGTGTAAAAGGAAAATGTATTTATATTTGAATTAGGGTAATTATATAGTCTCAAATTTTTATTAAATACACTAGTCAGGACCTCAGTTTTTAAAATTATACGATTTAATCTTTGGATAATAATTTTGTTACACTATAAGGTCCAATCAATGGTTAATTTTTGGTTAAGTGATTATAAAATATCAAAAACACTCTTAAAAAGATTTGCTATACAGGGATTAAATAATATAAAATTAAAAAAATTGAAATCTTTAGTGTATTTCATCAAAACATAAAAGCTATATTGTAATTATCTCTTCGATTACTTTTTATTTCGTAGTAAGTCAACGGAAAAACTAATAATTAAATCTTATAGTGTAATAAAATTATAATACAGTAACTAAATAGTATAATTTCGAAAACTGAAGTGCTTGTTAATCTATTAGAAAAAAAAAATACTCCTCAAATATAAAAATAAAAATAATTATGGAAGAGGAATTATATCCACCTGGTTCAATAATTTTTATTTAATTAATAATTTATGGGTGGATTTTAGTAGTGTAGTGCACAAAATTCCAGAAGTCTTTACTTAGTCTTGAAGCATTTTTTTTTATTTGCTTTGAAGAAAATATATTAATTAGCATTTTCCTAATAATAAAAAAATAACCAATGCATGGTTGAATATGTAAATTCCATTCAAACATTAGAATCCAAAATCAAAGCATCCATCCATTCTTCTATAGCCTCATTCCCCTTCTATTAAGTGCTTATGTATCTTATATAATAAGGTTGTTATTTTGTGTATTTTATTAATTTCTAAAATAATTATAAAATCAGTGTTTGAATTTTGTGTATTTTTTTATATTTTAGTGTCTGAATTTTATTTTTGTAAAACAAGCATGTGCAGTGATAAGCTTTATACAATTAAATATATTTTATCAAATTTCTTATTAGAATATTAAAATAGCTTAATTTATCTCTTTTTTTTAATTCGTTTAATTTTTAAATTATTACTTTACTATATTTATGACATTTCTTCTCATTGATAGTTTTATTTTACAATAGAAAGAGAAATATAAGGAATTTTTAGATTTGCTTTTAAGAAGATATATGAAACAATAAAAATTTTGAAAAATAGAAAATAGAAATGAAACGAATAGATTTTTAGGTGTAATATTATCTAGTAAATAAAATTAATTATTCTAAGTTTTTGGTAAAAAAAAATCTAGCTAAATATATTTAATTTTAAAAAAAATCAAATATTTAATTGATAAAAAGATAAAAAAGCTAAGACAGCAATAAAAATAAAAATGATAGCTTTAATTATTTCTTTTTTTTTTTTCTTCCAATGCTAATTGAATTGAGACGTAAACGTAATGTTTACTTGGAAAAGGCAAGCGTCTAATCAGACAATCAAGTTAATCAAGGATTGGATTGTTGAGTGGCGATTGATCGAGGGCAATGCCATCATGCAACAGAGTTCAAATGAGCTAGTGAAATAGGACTAAAAAATACACACGTGGTATGCAAGCGAATACAAATCACGTGGGTTTATATTGATTTATTTTTGAGCTATCGAGCGACGATTGCTCCATCTATTTAAAAAAGATGCGAGGCTTTAAAATATATCATCTTGCATATGATAATATTGGGGAAAAAAAATATAAATGACACATTAAATATAATTTCTCTTATTTAAAACATTTCATCTAATTGAATTAATATTCCAATGCAAATGAAATTATGAATTACCAAGAAACAACTAGCTAGTTTCAAAGTGCTTCTTAATTAGTAATTACTACTACATAGTTGAGTTTTATTTTTAATTTTTAACTTTTTCTATTCTTCATTTCCATAATTCTTCCTTAGCTTACAAGTCCACTAATTTCCAAAAGCAGAGTCCCCTTCAATATGGTCAATTTCAATTCATTTAATGGGCCGGCGAGTAGCACGTGTCATCCTTCAATTGCAGCACGTGTTATATGTTCAGCGCCTAGGTTCAATATCAAACAAACAACGTTGTTATGAATTTGCACTTTTTTTTTTTTTTTTTTTTTTTTTTTTTTTTTTTTTTTTCTTTTATTTTTTTTTTTTTTTTTTTTTTTTTGCCAAATTAGGATTGGCTTTGGCAGTCAAAAAGTCAACAGTTCATATTTGCTTAAATTAAAGTTTAAATATTTATAAAAAAAAAAAAAAATGAAGGGCTGTGATTCACCATCATCTGATTTGTGACGCTTAGATTGTAAATAGAATGTTGTTATTGTAAAAATTATGTGTAACTAACAGATCTATAGTAGGAGATTTTGTACATTTTAGAGTATGAATTTTACATTTTATTATATATAATTATAGTAATTTGAATATTTTTAAATAAATTTATACCTTTTACCCTCATTGAATTATTACTTTTATCTATACTTTTTACCGATCAAATATTCTCAATGCGTCGCTATTAATATGAACAGTGTTTTTCTTTGATATACATAATTTATTCATTTCATTTTCATAAATTTACATGTTGTTATCATAAAAGATTTGATTTTACAAGATGTCTCATAAGTGACATTATAAAAACTTAAAAGGCATTTAAAGGAATTTTCATGATATAGATATGCAACAAATTAGCTTACCATAAGCATTTTTTTTTTTTTTTTTTTTTTTTTTTTTTATGCTTCGTGGAATGTCCTCACAATGGCTCTATCTATTATGAATAGTGATTTGTTTTCATAATTTTTTTTTTTTTTTTTATGATGTGAAATGTCCTCAATGGCTCTATCTATTATTGAATAGTGATTTTGTTTTATAAGTGTTGTTAAATCCATATAATAAGACATAAACTTTTAGTTTTTTCTATGACAAAAGTGAAAAAGGCTCCCATTTTGATAATGGATGGAGAAAGATAAACTATTATTAATTTGTACGTCTCGTTGACCGATCCGGGTTCGTGTCGAGTAGGCTTTAAAAGGTGGTAAAGTGCTCATTATTTAAAGGGACTTCATACTCAGAATTCAAATTTTAGACCTTTAATTAAGGGAGAAGGCTTTATGTCATCTCATCTCATCCCTCAAAGTAGAATTTTTACCAATTTAATAACCCTATTATATTATTTCGGTTCATTGTTCTTCTTAACGAATAAAAAAAAAATCTATTTATGGAACTTATCTTGTTAAGAAGGTGAACAAATTGTACAAGGATACTATAAGATATTGTTTATGCAACTCAAAAATTGGCTACAACCGAAAGTACTAGATAAAGAAGACAATTCAAGATATGGAGTTATCAATTAGATACCTTATCTTAATTATCAAAATTTCCATGCATGTTAATTAGAGAAATTTCATCAAAGAATTACTTTGAAATATTATTTAAAACTAAAAAGGAATATATTAATTTTTAAAACAATTTTAATAAGTTATTTTTATTTTAATTAATTTTGCATTTTTGCGCACCCATTTAATGTAATTCAAAACTAATATTTTTGTTATTTTTTGAGTGCTTTCCAAAATATTATATTTTGTGTTTTGGTATGAATAATACGTTCGTTTTATTTTCATCACAAATATAATTTTACCATCGGACCAAAATATGATTGGAAAATACTAAAAAGGTGAAAACCATAATTGAAGTTTACAAAATTAAAATCTAAACTAGTTAACATCGATCATATGAATTTTTTATTTTTAAAATTGGCTTTAAATAGATTAATATCAGTAAAGTATTAAGTTGAAATTAAAAATTTTAAAACGCTTTTTGTAAATTAATTAAATTAAATTAAGAAATTACTTATCTATTCAATACTAAACCGCCCCCAATGATAATCAAATTAATTCCAATGTAAGTAAAAGTTAAAAGTAATAAAATTTAAACACAAACTCATATTAAGTACGTTTTTATAAAACACGTGGCTGGCACGTGCTCAATAAGGAAAACGTGCGCATATCTTCTGCATACCGACCTCCAAAACTGCCGGTTATTTAACCATTCATTAGCTGACATGTATACCATGGGTCCCATCCAATGGATTCTATTTTTTTTTAAAAAAAATTCTTATTATATTTCGGCTAATTGCTTATATATTTTTCTTCTTATTTGAGAGTAATTAATTATTTTCTTTTTTGTGCGGTCTTTACATAATAAGACCGAGAATAATATTTAATTAAAATACTTTCAACGGTTGTCGTTTCAAGTTTCAAAATTCTAATAAAAAAAATTCTTATTATATTTTGGCTAATTGCTTATATATTTTTCTTCTTATTTGAGAGTAATTAATTATTTTCTTTTTTGCGTGGTCTTTACATA